TTTTAAGTCATTTTTCATGATTTTTAAACCATTTTTCATGATTTTTAAGTCATTTTTCATGATTTTTAAACCATTTTTCATGATTTTTAAGTCATTTTTCATGATTTTTAAACCATTTTTCATGATTTTTAAGTCATTTTTCATGATTTTTAAACCATTTTTCATGATTTTCAAGTGATTTTTCATGATTTTTAGACCATTTTTCATGATTTTCAAGTGATTTTTCATGATTTTTAGACCATTTTTCATGATTTTTAAGTCATTTTTTATGATTTTTAAGTCATTTTTCATGATTTTTAAACCATTTTTCATGATTTTTAAGTCATTTTTCATGATTTTTAGACCATTTTTCATGATTTTTGAGCGATTTCCGATTTTTTAATGGTTTCAGAACTATTTTCTTAATTTTTCAGCGATTTTCGAATCTTTCTAGAGTAAAATCTCATTTTCAGTCAGTTTTTAAAATAATTTTCAGACAAAAAATGTCCAATTTTCAGAGATTTATCGATTTTTTGCCTTTTTTCAGAATTTTCGGTCCATTTTGGACTATTTTCAGCTTGAAATTTGTGTTTTCGGCTTAAAAACATGTCAGAGCTAAATTTTGAGCCAATTTTCATTTTTTTTTTTAGTTGGAAAATAATAATAATTTGAGATTTTTTGGAGTCAGAAATTTGGAATTTTGAACTAAAAATCGAGATTTTTTAAACAATTTTCATGTTTTTAGAGCCATTTTTCATGATTTTTGAGTAATTTTTTATAATTTTTGAGTAATTTTTTATGATTTTTGAGCCATTTTTCATGATTTTTAGACTATTTTCGACCCTTTTCAACAATTTTCCAGCCAAAAACTCACCAAAAAACTTGGTGTACAACTGACTTAAGTCATCCGAGCTCTTCAATAATCCATATGCCTCTTCCGGCTTCTTCCTATGCACAATCACATTTCTTCTGGAGTCTCCAGAAGACGTGCCGCTGCTACCAGAACTAGAACGACGTCTTCTCTTCTTGCTCTTCTTCTTTCTGTCACGATGACGTCTTCTGGATTCTCTGGAAGAAGCTGAAGACGTTGAGGATAAGGACGAAGACGATGAGGAGGAGTGACGTCTTCTACGCTTCTTGCTCTTTTTTCCACGTCTTCTGGAGTCTCTGGAGCCGTCGCGTGGACTTCTGGAGAGATATTGTCGCTTTCTGGAGTCAGAAGACGTCACTGAAGACGTTCCTAGTGCGTTGGGGTCCGCCGGGGGTCTAGAAGACGTCGTTGGAAAGGTGGAAAACGGATTTTTTTGGGATCTTCTGGAATTTTTGGGATTTTCAGATGAAAATTTCACTATGTTTAGACAAAAACTCACGCTTCCGATTGTTTTCTATGCTCTGGCAGCATGAAGACGTCCTGCTCATGGTGCTGCTGGTCTTTGGGGAGAGGGACCTGGAATTTTTTGCTATTTTATCTTATTTTTAGGCCTTTAACAACCTTCAGACAGCCCTGATCGTCGCTAGAATCAGAATCACCGTATCCGGCTTGCATATAGACGCTGGCTTCCTCGAATTCCACTCTTTTCCGCCTTTCCGCCTCGTGATCTCTGTTCTGAAATGGGCTTTTTGGAATTTTAGGCTTAATAAATTGAAAAATACCGCTACAAACTGAATCGCAGCTCTTGTACGAGTATCTTCGTCTGGTGCGGGCTCTGGAGCTCCTGAAAAATTTAATTTTTTTTGCAAAATTTTTTTTCTCCATTTTTCTTGAGAATTTCAGAAAAAAAGCTTACTTCTAGGTTGTCTCGCACGATTCGGATTAGAATTGAAATACATTTTTGAGCTGAAAAATAGAAAAAATCACTGATTCCGATTAAAATTCGCTGAAAACTAGCTGAAAATTGGTTGAGAATGCAAATTTTTATCTGAAAGCAATCGCGCTCCGTTGAGAATCTTGTGGGATCAAAGCGCGGTTGTTTAAATTCCAAGGCGCGTTTCGCGATATCGAGTTTCGGGTCAGCAACAGCCTGACGCAATGATAAAAATTGCATGGGAAAAATTGTCTTAATTCGCGAAGAATCTTAAAATTTCGATTTTCGGACCAGTTTTTTGGGGTAGAGACTTCAAAAAATCGAAAATTATGCAAAATTCGTACAATTGAGCGAAAAATAGTCGGAAAAGTCGAGGTTTGAGGATTTTTCAAATTTTTGAGATGGAAAAAAATTTTGCATCATTTTTTAATATTATTAT